AACAGGCCCACGTCCTCACACCTGGGGGCTGACTCATCAGCGCACCCCACAGCCGCCCCTCACGCCCCTTCCCTCCTGTCTCACTGTGTGATCATTTGATTTCCTGGCCTGTGCCGGAGCATACACGTGGCAGTCACCACCATCTGCAGAGCACTTGCCCACGGAGACACTGTCCTAAGTGCATGGAGGTATCTGCCCCTAAATGCAAGTGACCCTTGCATTTGACAGATGAGGACACAGCCCGAGGCTCAGAAACAGGGTCCTGTGGCCAACAGATGGCCAGGCTTGGCTTCCACAGTGTGAATCATAGCCCATGTTCCCTGTAGCACCACACTATCTCAGAACCTCAGAAGGCAGCAGAGTCTTGAAGAAGAAACCAGGGAACTGGAGAAGCCCACGCCCAGGTCCACACAGAACAGGCGTGGCGCTCCGGCACAGCGTGGCCTGGGTGAGGGTGGCACAGGTGTGCATAGCGGCCTGGGTGAGGTGGCCGTGTTATGATCAGTGACCTGAGTCATGAAGAAGAGGCCAGATGATGTCCAGGGCTATGTCTGTCCTGGGTAGACATTTCTAGAAGAAGGAAGATGGAAATATAACAGGTATTTAAAAGATTCCCATCTGAAACGATGGCAATGGAGGCAGCCTTGAGAGAGCCTGGTACCGGGGGCAGGGGCTAGGGTGATCCGTTCCCCCTAGGGAGCCCGTCCCTCCTCCTCCTGGCTCCCAGGGTCTCTTCCCTGCAGCCTCCCCCTGAACAAGGGCTGTGGCCAGGGGCTGCCCACTGCTCCTGGCACCCTGCTGCAGCAGAGCTGGCACCTGTGTGGCCCCCGCCCATAAGTGAGCACCACTCCCACTCGGGGCTCCTGGCAGTGGGCGGAGGGAGTGCTGGGCCTGTGTCAGTCCCTGTGAAGACACCATGGGCACCAGGAGGTGGTGGCCGGGGCCCAGGAGAGGGGCAGCGGTGCTCCCTCTGCAGGGGAGCCACGGCTGGACGGTCCCTCCAGGCCGGCTGGGAGTCTGCAGAGAGGGAAGGAGAATGCTCTGCTCTGCTCCCACGGCCCCTCATCCCCTTTATTTTTTTCTCTCTTTGTAGAATAATATAAAATGAAAAAGCCCAGCAGAAAGGGAGCGTGATGCTGTCGTCCGTGGCGTTGATGTTATTTATTTTCCTCAGTTGCTGCTCTGGAAGCCTGGAGTTGACAGAGCGGTTTTGTAGAATAGAAACATTATAGACTGTTACTGTCAGAGTGTTAAATGTGATGGATAGAGAAATAGAGGCGAAGGAGGGGACTTAATACTGAGAGCCAGGGTGCTCATGGGAAAATAAACCATCCGCACATAAGAAATGAATGAGGTAATGTGGCGGGAGGTAATGGGCTCTCGCGACACCGGAACAGAGACAGCTTTGCAGGGTGTGCTTAACCCTGGCCATGCCGACTTCCCTCTGTGGTCCCAGGGCTCTCGCTGGGTCCCCGGAGGGAGCCGTGCATGGCTTCTCAGCAGGGGAGCGGGGACAGACGTGCTCTTAATAATGCCGCGTTAGCAGCCTGTACATCAGAGCTTGGCAGCCTCTGCGGGGCACGGGACCTGTGGCCGTGGGGTTCAATGTGCCAGGAGAGTGGGTCAGGGAGCCGCAGGGAGGGCACGTCCAGGAGCACTTTAATTGCTCAGAGCAGGGGGAGACTTGTGGTCCCTTATGACCCCAAGGTGCCTGCCACCATCCTGGCTGCTTTCTGCTGGCCACAGAAGGATGACCCTGTTGCAGCAGGAGCCGTGGCCACCCTTGTCACCTGCTTGTCCAGCGCAGAACTGCTGCACAGGTGATAGAGGGAAGCTGCCAGGGGAAGGGCCTGTAGCAGATGGGACCGTGGAAGGGACCCAGCCAGCCAGGGTGAGAGGGTGCCGGATCCAGTGTGGCCAGGTTCCGTGAGAAGCTTGTATCCGGCCCCATGACCCACCATGGTGTCCTGGGGCTGGCCGCCCTGCCCTGATCGTGACAAGCATTTGGTAAATTATGGGGACTCAGTGGATCGGGACCCCGGATGGCCCCCTGGCTGGCGGGCCATTATTGCTGCGCAGCCTCGAGCGAGCCCCTTGGTTTCTTCATTCATGACACCAGGATAATGCCCTCGCGTAAGACTATTAGCAAGGTTCACCGTCAAGCTCATCAAAACGCAGCCGACTGTAAAACATCAGGCAGACGGCAAAGTGTTACTCTGAGTTACTCTGATCATTCTGTGGTCAGTAACCAGCCTGCAGGTGCGCACGGAGAGGTGGAGGGCAGGTGTCTCCCAGCAGCTCTCTGTGCGTTCCCACGTCGCCCTCCCTACCTGACGCCAGGGGGCCTGTCCTGGCTGAATGCTGGCATGAGGTTGGCCCTGGGTCAGAGGGAGCATGCAGCACCCATGCGGAGGCACAGGCACCAAAGCCGGTCCTCCCCTGAGGAAGGTCCACCCTTGTCCAAGCCCCGCTGAGGCACAAGCCCTGCCTTTGGGGCCTCCTGGTCTCTGCCTGCAGCTGCACACCACAGATGTTCCTCAGCCCAACCGCATCCTCCCAGGGCTCAGGTGCCCATGCCACCTGGCAGCAGGGCCCTGTCCTCGCTCCAGCGACAGGACAGTCCACATCCTGCACACCTGTGATTGATGTTTTGCTCTCACAGGGGCTCAGTGTTTCCACGAGAGTAGAAGGACCTTGGCTGGATGGCATCCCGAGACTTGGTCCTGACTCGGGTCAGCATGTGCCACTGGTCAGGGACAGCCCCTCGTGACCCTCTGCCCTCTTCTCCCATTTTCCTTCCTCACACATGGTTCAGCCTTCCAAAAAGTGGGGCTCCTCGTCTCCCCAGACATGCGCTCTGCTCCCACTCTGCAATGCTTCTCTCTCCTCGTCCTGTTTGCAGTCCCTGGCCACCCCTTCAAGCTTGCTTCTCACTGTCCCCAACAATGATGGAGTTCCAGTGGGCCCCAGGTCTAGACGTGAAATCCGTCCATGTTTCTTGTGCCCCTCATACACGTAGGTGTAGGCGATGGCGCACACTATTTTACTGATGTGTTCATGGAGCCAAGGATCACGGTGTGGAATTTTCCACTATTGGCATCATGGAGCATTTTGGGTGTCCAGATGGAGGCGCTCCGCCAGTGGCAGTGGTGATGGTGACTGAGGAGCCGCGGAGGCAGGGGCACTAGGTCAGTGCCAGATGCTCACTCCTCTGCCCTTTTTGTTCTAGGTAGAGTTGTGCAGTGGACAGGGTCTGTGGGCTGGAATAGCCCACTGGGCTGAGGCCCCCTCCTGTAGTGGGGCTGTCTGCTCTGCACCCATTCTGAAGGCTGCACCCTGCTTGGGGTCTTCCTGTACTGTGTATCAACTGTACTGTGACAGACGACTCAAACCTGAGGCCGTCTGGTCTACAGTGGAAACCTGCTGAAGATCAAGTCATTGTGAACCCTGGCCGCACAGACCAGGTGCCCAAGAGGGGCTTCTCATCTCCAGCTAGGGTCCGGGTTTCCAGTAAGCGCTGCACTGGGAACCACTGAGGAGCAGGTGAGTGCCCTTTGTGATGGGGGTGCGACACTTCTGTTCTGGAGGCTGGTGAGGAGGGGCACGCTGTGCTCCTTGTCCCTCCTGCCACCACAAGCTGCGAGGGGACTTCTTTACATCTGCCATTGTAGCCTAGAGTGAATGTTTGGGCCAGGAGACTGTGTGGTGCACGGCCTTGCACTAGTGTAGACAGGCATGGTGAGGACCTCCGAGTTCACGGGTGTGAGCCCAAACTCGGGCCTTCTTCAGCCCCTGGGGTCAACGCAGTGGCCCATGGCTGGCGCCTCCCCTGGGTGGAGCGGCTGTGCCTGCAGACAGCGGGCACCCTCACCCATTGGCAGCACAGCGGCTCTCCTTGGGGGACTCGTCTTGACCTGAGTTGTGTTTACAAGTGTGTCACGTGGCTGTGGATGTCTTGTGCGTGTGCTGGATGTGTGTGCCTGTGTTCTGGGACTCTCCTGTTCTGTGGGAGAGGTGTTGGCAAGTCAGTGTGCAGAGACATTAGCTAATTGTGCCAAGTCCATCGATAGCCAACCATGAAACGTCTCCTGACTTCAGAAGTCCTGGTGTTTCCAAGCGTCCACTCACTCCTGTCTTTTCTCTGCTATGCTTAGAGGAGGAAGGCAGAGAGCCCTTTTGGCTTTGCAAGAGAGGAGACTATTTGGTGTGGCTGGCTGGTGGGTCGGGGTTGCTGGGGAGGCCACGTATCTGTTGTTGAGCTGTGTGCAGGGGCTGGAGGAGGAAGGGCCTCCCCAACACGTATGCACACGCACACGCATACACGTACAAAATGGATCTGTGCTTGTTCTCATGAGCCTAAACTCGTCTCAGCCAAGGAGACCGGGCGGCTGTGAGTCCAAGTACGAGTGACAGCTGGGGTGACTGCCCTGCTGGCTGTGTCATGGGCCCCTGGCTGGAGACAGCCCTCAGCCTGGGCTAAGGCTGAGGCCCAAAGGTGCTGTGAGAGGTGGGGAGGGGCACACTGGCCCCTCCTGCCCTCTCCCCCACCCCATCTCCACACCAGTGCCACCCAGAAGGACCCAGCCACCGTGCTCTCCGGGCTCTGCCCCTGAGCAGCTTGCTGCAGATCCCTTTTTATTGGCATTTCCTCCAATTTACCAGCCTTGAATTGCATTTGAATCAGTGAAAGAAAGAGCGGGAAGAGAAGGGAGGAGCCCCCCCTCTTGGAGAAGCAGCTCACAACTGGCTTTATTTGGTAAAACGCTGCAATAGATGCTTGTCAGAAATAATTTATTCCTGTTAGCTGTAATCTGAAGGAAAACAGATACAAGTCCTATAGTTAAAAAAAAAAAGTAAAGTCGACTTGCTTTCGCTGACAGTACAAAGGTGTCATATACAAGAAGGATTGACACAGACCAAGGGGTCTTGTGGGAAATATGATAATAACTATAAAGAAGACAGATTATTCCCCAGTCGCCAACATTCAAACCTTTTTACAGTCAGTTCAAACATATAAAACTTTATTGCTCTAGCAGAAAGGGGAACAATTTCTGGTTGCACAGCTTTCCCAGGGCTGGGTTTATACTGTCTGTGTTATTGCTCTATAGTGGCATTTTAAAGTTTATTGAACAAGACTTTTACAATTGAAGGAAGTATATAAAACTGTAAATTTATTAGATTTTTCAGGATAAGTGCCCTTTCTAGTTGTGCTCAAGAATTCGGAGCTTGAAACTGCTAGTTACAAGACTTATTAATATTAAAGACTGAGAGTGTGCACATTTTATACTGTAACAGATCTCAAAAATAACATTATTGCATTACCGCACGTCACAGCTCCGATGCTGTGGACTCGGGTGGATGCACCCGTATGGGACTCTATGTTCCAGATGGTAAAAAGTTAGCTTCTGTGGAATCTTGTTGCATTTGATGTTAGCTGTCGGCCGGGGTCTCTGCTCACTAAAGGGCGTCTCGGGTGAATGTCCCCTCAGCCCCTTGGTGTTCTGCTAGTGCCTCTCTGCCTGCAGGTATGATGCAAGCCAGGTGGTGGGCTCTAAGGGGTTTTATGGTGAAGTCATATGAAGCAGCTGTCCTTACCATAAGCAGGATGCTCCTGGAGGGAGATCTCCCCCCAATGTCTCACTTCTTGTGTCTTAAAGTTGTGACCATGACTCGAGCAGTGCGTCTTGGTGGTGGTGATCTGAGTCTGGCTTCTAAGCCTGGGCACATTCACCTCCAGGGTCAGGTGGCTCTGAGTTGCAGGGTGTCCTGTGCACTGTCTCCCTGGCTCCTTCCAAGGAGGCCATCCTTGTCCCTTTCCCAGTGTGACAGCCAGAAGTGTCTTCAGACCTTGCCTCGTGTCCCCTGGGGGCAAAATCGTCCCTAGTTAGGAGTCACTCACCTACATAATATTACAGTGTGTCCAGAAAAAATATTTTGTACCGGAAGTAACTCATATGGGTTGTGTTGGTAATTTTAAAAAGTTATTGTTACCAAACACAATGAATTGCAAGATTATTTACTTTCAGAAATATCTGACTGTGGATTTCTTTTAAAAAAATGTGTTCCCAAGGGATGTAACAAAACTCAACCTTCACAGATTTACCTACGAGGACCACCTTGCTGTGTAGCTGGAGAGGCCCTGTGATTTGCAAGAGTCTGAGGCGTGTGTTTATAGGCAAATGCACGAGTGAGACTGCATTTCACATTCTCTTTATATTATCTTATGATTAACCACTGATATGCTTTGCCTTTTGATTTTGATATGCATATGCAGAAACACATGTATATGTATATCTTATGCGCCTAACAGTGAAGGGTTTCAGGAGCACAGAGGCAATTTTGATTATAATTTTCTCATGTGACAGGTTTAATTTTGAGATACCATCAACTTGTCTTTAATTTTCAATTTGTATTCTAGGATTCTGCACCCTCTTCAGAAGGTCTCGGTGGCGGGTAGATTAGAACATCCAAGGGTGCTCCTGGAGCACCTGTCCACCTATACCTCCCAGACACTGGGTGAGCGCCTGGTGTATCTTGGAACGTTGGTCTGGGACTCAGTGCTGATGTCCTTGTGGCCACAGCATTTGCTGGAATGATGAGGTGGTGGGTTTCCGGGGGACTGGATCATACTAGGCGCTTGCTTTCTGATCGCCTGAGTTTTGGAGCCCTACCCTTGGGTCTTCCCTTCTTTCTTTAAATCCCAGATGCCTAGTTCCTCCCAAGGGGCATCGTGAGCAGGCCTTCCCTCTTGTATCTGCAGAGCTGCAGTCCCGTCCCCGTGGCTCAAGTCACATGACTGCTTTCTTCGTGTCTCGCTGTCTCTGTGGTCACCAGGCCCCAGCTGTGCAGGAGCTGTGGCTCCTCAGCTTTATCTACCAAGTGACTTTCCGGTGAGCTGGGCATGTGTAACGTGACGGGACAGCAGATGACTGGACTCTGCTAGGGCTCTGCCTAGGACACCATGACCTGTTAGTGAGCCATGAGGTACACTGTGTCACCCCTTTTGTCACATTTGGCTCCCCTAAGTCATAACATGCCTTGCTTGAGCTTTTGACCTGCTGATCGGCATGCCCAGTGTGGTCCCCTCTTTGACAGCTCTGTCCCTGGACTGGGGGCGTCATGCTCATTCAGAGTATGTGTTCAGAGGTGTCTTGGCCAGGGCCGTTGGGGAGCTTGCGCGGTGGGTGAACTGCCTTGCCCACCAGGCCCCTCCCCCGGGCTTTGAGAGCTTCAGATGCACCACCCTGGGAATGTGCCCCCTGAGACTTCGGGAGGTTCAAACCTGAGCCGTGTTCATGCCATCCCATCTGCTATGGAGGAGAATCTTCCTGACGTCTCCTTCACCTTGTGGATTCCTAGGTCCACTTCTAGTGGCCATGGAGGAGACCTCAAACAAAAGAGACGGCCTTAAGAAAGGAGAAGGTTCTCCGGTCCCAGCTGAATCCTGGGAGACTCGCCCTGAGCTGGTGAAGTGTCTGAGCCAGTTGTCCACCTGCACCGCGGGCTGAGGGAGCAGCACAGGAAGCAGCGCATGTCAGGGCAGCAGGCAGCCTGGGTCTTTCATGAGACTTGGTTATTCTGGTCACAGCCCTGCTGACACTGGGGTTGGAATGCCGATTACAGGAGGGAGCGTCCCTGTCAGAAGCCCAGGCTAACATCTTCCCAGGCTTTAGTGGGCCTCTCCACAGTCTCGATGCTGTATTCGGCAATGTTCCAAAGGGTCCCGGAAGGGGAGTGGAGGAAGCCGGGCCCAGGGTGGGCACCTGGAGTGATGGGGAGATGCTCACCCTGTCTCCCACGAGCCCTGGTGCTGGAGCCACCGGATTTGCTTAGGATTTGCCCCAGCCTCCTGGAGAGAGCACGAGAAAGACCCCAACAGAAATGAATTTATGCCTAAGAGCATGTCTTGGGAATGCAGAGGGGTTTCAGAGTCTCCAAACCAGGACTTCCTTTTAGGGAAAGAGGGAAAGAAAAGAAAAAGGTGAGGAGGAGGGTCTGTGGCTCCCAGAGGGGCGCTGTGTTCTGTGGAAGGTGCTTTGTGGGACAGACAGGCTGCTGGGCATCAGGTTGTCTAACACCCACCTTTAGAAGTGCAGAAGGACCATGGCCCAGCCACACCTTCCATGGGAGCCTTCAGTCAAGGCCCGCATGGCCTCTGGGCCCACAGCTGACCTCGCCACAGACGTCCCTGCCTTGCAGGAGCTCCACGTGCTGGCATTCTGCAGCCAGGGGCGCCTGTCCATGTGCCCACATTGGGGTCCCTTTGTTTCAGCCAGCCGCGTATCATCCAGGCGAGTTAGAGAGCCTCAGCCCGACACAGGCCGCGGAAGCTGAGGCCAGGCCACGAAATGGCCGGTGGAGTCCCAGCAACATGAGGACTGTCAGGGTAGGGCTGTCCCCTCTCTTCTAGAGCCATGGGCTGGCCCATGTGGATGCGGTAGGGGCTCATTCCTAAGTTTTTTGGTGGCCGTGGGTGCAGAAGCTGGGCTCAGAGCGGCAAACACACAGTCTTCACAGGAGTTTGCTGCCCGGGGCCCCGAGCCCCTGACCCTGAGGCTGAGGGCCAGGCGAGGTGCAGCGGGGAGAGTGCCCGGGGCTTCAAGTGCAGCTTCCCTGCAAAGCATGCAGGGCCTCAAACTCCGGGGCAGGTATTTGCTGTCCATCCTTTCATTTCAGCCACCCCTTATTGAGTGCTTGTTGTATACCAGGTCTGGCGCTGGGTGCTGTGCATAGACTTGAGGAAGGTTGTCCTTCAGTGCTCATGTGTTGGGGTCTGAGAAGGCTGCGTGCAGCACTCAAGGGGCTGCCGGCCCAGTGTCAACAGCACCCAGAGGCAGGCAGGCGCCGCTCACCCAGTGCCTTCGGTCAATTGTGTCACCATCTCTGCCTGAAGGCTCCACCTCTCCCTGTGTTTGGCACAGAAGTCGGGGCTCATCGGGGAGGGGCTGTGGATAAGATGGGAAGCAGCCCCTCAGGGAAATGGGCCCAGGGCTGGATCAGGAAGCCCCGAAGTCTTGCTGGCCTGCAGTTGTGGAAGAACAAAGCTGGGCTCAATGAGACAGAAAGAATAAGGAAACAAAAATAGAAAAAGCGGGAGCCCCCTCAGGTTGAATTAACTACTGCGGGCTCGCTCCGAGGGGGATTCTCAGGTTTCCAGGATATTTTGAGATTCAGAAGGCAATTAGGGAAAGACCCATATGATCTTGAAACACAACCTTGAAACTGTCAGAGGCTGAGTGCCGACCACCAACCAGGGAATGCAGACCACCCACCACAGGGCCCCACGGGGTCCCCTGGCCCCTCCCTGGACTGTCCAGTGCAGACCACCCAGTGCAGAGCCTGGGGCCCCTGGCCCTTCCCTTGATGATGCTGCAGAGCAACCTAAGCTGCAGTTTGTTGGGGGAGTGTCAGAGCAAGGCAGGTGTCGAAAGGCCACGAAAAGAAGAATCACAATGAACATGTGCCTGGGGCTGGCATCAGCGGGCAGCAGAGCCTCCCGTCCCCCCTCTTGGACTTGACTGCTGCAGGAGCACAGCCCTGGACACTGACCACTGAGACACCACAGTCCCCTCAGCCAGGGTGCTCTGTCGGCCCAGGAGGGACAGCATGGAGATGGAGCAGGTGTCCAGCTGGTCAGGGACTCCAGAGCCCATGCGGGCTGTGGCCTGGATGTGTGCCCTGGGTCCCAGGAGCCCCTGCGGTGGCAGAGGAGCCATGGGAGACCCGCTTTGACGTGGTCCACGCGCCCTGGGGCAGACGCTGCTTGCCCTGCAAACCTGGGTGGCCCTCTGCACATCAGGAAGCCATGCCCAGAAGAGAACAGCGGCCCCCCATGGGTGGCCTTCTCTCTGTGTCACTCTTCTTCCTTTTTCTCCTGTTGTCCCTTGTCCTCCTTGGTGGAAAGCCACCAGAAGTTGAGTCTAAACCGAGGAGTCCCCAGGCTGAGTCCTCTGTGCATGGCAGTGGACGTGGTGGGGTTCCTGGGACATCAGGGAGAAGATCCTTGCAGGTTTAAGGAGGAACGGGTGGGGTAGAGAAGAAGGTCAGGACAGAAGACCGAGTCAGAGATGCTTCATCATTTGAGACCTGGCGAGTGTGGGTGCTGAGTTCAAGGCTGAAGGGCAGTGCCGGGTGCAAGCTGGGGCACTGTGCCATCTTCCTGAGAGGCCCCGTCCCTCCCTGTCCCCATCCAGCCGCCGAGGTGTGAGCCCAGGCAGCCTGCTTGCTGTGCCCTCTTGTGGGGCCCACAGCTCTGGCCCTGCTGCTTGCACACGTGTGAGCCCGGCCAAGTGCTCACCATCACGGCTGTCTCGTCTGGTCCCCTCCTTTGCCCTTCACGCCAGTCAGTCGGCTTCCTGTCAAAAGGCATGGAGAGGCCATGGACAATGCTTTCAGGGTGCAGATTCTCCACACTCGGGCTTCTCCTCTCGAGCTTGGTCTTGTGTGGATGTGGGTGAGCCTGAAGGGAGGGGCCAGACCCCCATTGGTAAATGCCCAGTGGCTGGAGCACGGCTGCGGGGTGTGACCAGAGTGGGTGAGAGGACAGGTCGCCGGACTTGAGCTGGGCAGACAGCGCTGTGAAGGTTCCCCTTGCTGACTCCTTTCTCCCTAAGAGAATCAGAAACCCCATGGGCCTTTTAGGGAGAGGTCCTGCCTGGTGACTGGGAACGTGGAAGAGGGTCCAGTTCATTATGCCACCCGGAGAACCAACACAGCCCGCGTTGGAAACCAGGAAGAAGGGATTTAAAAAAAAAAAAAACTCAACAGCAGCACTGCTGTGGTTGGCGGCCCTGCCTGCTGTCTACAGGCTGCTGCTACCCACTCGTCACAATTAGAATGAAGTGTCCGTCAGCGGCTATCTTCTCTGTGTGGCCCATATGTTTCTGAGCTGATACTGTCCGGATTATTCTGTTCGGGAAAACGATAACGGCTGTTTATAACCTTGGCAAAGGCTGAGGCCTAATCAGGCTGGAGCACATTTTCACCGACTGGCTGATAACAGGCTGTTAGCAGCCTTATCGCTGGGGAGAGAGAGGCCAAAATAAGCAGATCTCTGAGCACAGGAGCCCAATCGAGTGCTGCACACTCCGGCCCGGCTTTATTTTTAGATTCCCTTTTGCCGGTTGATATCAGAAGGCTCCGAGGAAGGAGGTGGGGCGGATGGTAATGTGTGCCCGATGGGGTCGGAGCGAGGTGGGGGACGTTCGTCAACAGGAGAGGCAGAGGGTCAGCCCCGCTGCTGCTCCGGGCTCCCTTCAAATGAGGGAAACAGGAGCAGGTCCTGGGAAACAAAGGAAGGGAGGCGGCCGCTGGGCCTGGTGTGTGGCCGCCCGCCTGCCTGCGCGCCTCAGCACCTCCCCGTGGAGCCTCCAGCCTGGCAGCCAGAGGCGCCCGCGCTGAGACAGGCGCCCAGCCCTCTCCTGGGTGGGAGTGCGGAGTGACTTCCCCGCCCCACACATCCTCACTACACAGGTTACAGGAGAGGGCAGTGAGAAGCTGGGCCCTGAGCACAGAGGCCCTCGGTCCTGGCCCCAGGGCTCCCAGCAAGTCCTTGGTCATGGAGGAGACCCTCCCCAGGGAGCGGGTGGTGAATTCTCTGTCTGCCTCTCCTCCAAGCCAAGGAAAGGCCCTTTGAGAGCCAAAGCCGGAGCTGGCTTTTGCTTACACATTGAAACAAAAAGTAGGAGGTCCCAGTGCGCAGTGGCTGCTGCCTCGGTGGGTCACACCGAGGGGGAGGCCGCAGGGACGGCCTGCAGTCAGTAGCCAGCAGCCTGTGGTGCAGGTGGTGCTGGGTGGAGCCAGGCCTCCAGAGCCCGGCAAGCTCTCCACCCCCGCCCTGAGCAGGGAAGTCTCGTGTTTTCTTTGCGCATTCTGCACAGACCTTCACATGGGGAATGCTGTTAGGCCTTGGACTCCCTGTCCTGTCTCTACTCCTCTTCTCCCCCTTCCCCTCCACTCTCCACCTCTGGGCAGCTGCTTGATGGAGAAGTCACTTTGTCCCTCTGGAACTCCAGAGTGGAGTCAGGTGGTGGGGAAGAGGGGCAAGGGCCCAGGGCTGCAGGAGGGGGCACTTTGAGGGGCACACAGAAGGCCGCGGGAGCATTACCATTATCATGCTAATATATTTACAAGGCTCCCTTTATCCATTAATCTCTGAAGAGCAGGGTCCCTACCCTGTCACACGGCCCCAAATGACAACCACCTGTGCCTCCAGGACAAAACAGAGTCTTTAGGACCAAATGGTGCCCTGACGCAGGAAGGGGAAATTCAAAGACGCAGGAAAGGATTCAAGTCCAGGCCTTCGGCAGTGCAGACCTTTATGTCTGACTTCCCAGCTCACACCTGTGCCATGGCCAGCTGCCGGGCATTAGGGTGCCTCACACCCAAGTCTAGGAAACATCTCCAAGGAAACTCAAAATGCAGGGAGATTATTAAATGTCTGTTTTTAAAATCCAAACTGAGGTTTTCTACATTAATTTCTATTTTTCCTTTCGGAAGTTAGTGCTGATGAACTAAATATAAGTGACTTGGGTTAACACTTTCGATTCACTGATGAATTCAATGGAGGAGTCTCTTGTGCTATCCCCCCACAGTTGGAGGGCTGTGGAAATCTAGCCCTGGAGGGGGCTTGCGTCTGCCTGGGCCACGGCCGACTTGGCTACTAGACCTTTGATTATGAGTTCCTTCCACGCAGGCTGGCCCTTTTGTCACATCATGTGAAAAGGGTCCTTGGGTGTCCGCCCAGGGAGCGAGGTAGCACTTGCCAACACCTGCTACCCTGTGCCTCGGAGGCTGAGTGGCGGCTGACGGGGACAGGAGTGGGCAGCACTGTTCCTTGGCTCCGTTGTGAAGATGGCAGGAACGGAGGTCAGAGCGCCGCACCAGGGCAGCACTCACATGTAGGTCTGAGTGTCCTCCCAGGAGAAATGGCCAGTGGAGCAGCTTCCACCTCCAGGTAGGGCGCTAGCTCTCTAACTACCCTTTCCCATGCAAACCCATTCCGTCCAGAGATGCAGTCTTTGGTTCTAACCAGCAAAGCTCGCTGGTCACAAGTGTTCGAATCACGCCGTCTTAGGGCTGGAAGGACCCACTCTGCAGCACACCTCCTCATTTTGCACGAGAGAGTGGGTCCTCCAGAGAGGGACTGACTGGTCCAGGGAGGCTGAGCCAGGGCTTCACTAACATCTCCACCTCTCACTCGGTGATTTTGCATCTTTGGGTGACTTAGGTTTAGTCATAGGAGGATGCATTTAAAGTAAACCCCTGACTGGCCACGCCACTGCTCACCCCTCCGTGAGAAGAGGCTTGCGGCCCCCACGCAGTTTCTGAGTTCCTCAGAGCCAGGGCTTCTGTTGTCTCAGGGTTCCCAGGCTCCCCACGCGTGGAGCTGCGCAGCGTGCTGGCCGTGGGGTCCTTGAATGAATGAGTGACCGTGGCTGCCGGTTGGTTCCTTCCCTGAAGGACCCCTCTGGGTGTGTGCATTTGTGGCATGCGGTTCCTCAGTCTCTTCCAGGAGGGGCTTCGCTCTGCAGAGCCCCTTCACACCCAGGGAGTGCTGTCCACTTCCTTCACAGTTGGTTGCTCCTGAGGGCCTGGGAGGACCGGTGATCCTGTGTGTTGGTTGACTCTGAGATTCTCAGTCACAGCAATCATAGTCTTCTTAGCTGCCCAAGACCCTCCTGAGGGCATTGCTATAGAAAAACACCTTGTCATTTGTCCTGGAGAGAAAGGGACTCGCAGGGACGTTATGTAAGATGTCTCCTGTGGTACTGCAGGGCCTGGAGCAGTATTTGGATCAGAGGAGTTTTTGTGAAGTGGATCATACTTGAATTTTTGCTAAATGAATGAATAGCCATGATATGTCCACTTATGCTCAACTGGTCCCTGCTTCCAAGTATAGAACTGGACCCAGTCATTGTTCAGTCCCTTGCAAAATACACAGCTTCGCATGAACAGGGTCTGAGCCTCCGAGTCGGGAATCTCGGCCAGGATAAACTCTTGCCCTCAAAGCA